GGGAATACTTGCCATCGAGCGTGGGCAATCGGCGCACTTTCACCCTGGGCAGTAATTCGCCATTTGACGAGCATTGGCCAAGTTTTCGTGGCTGGCCTAGCTTTGACTTCCCAGCGGGCGTAGCACCGCAGACAACTACCAAAACCGAGAAGGATGATCAAGGACGCACGGTGACCACCACGATCAAGACATATCGAGGACCTGTGGGCAGCGCCACCTGGTCAGCGGGCTCAGACTTGAAGCCGAACTGGCCCAGCTTTGAGTTCCCGACGGGCATTGTGCCGCAGACAAGCACCAAAACGGAGCAGGATAATCAGGGCAACACGATTACGACCAGGACACGCACATACAGTGGGCCGCTCTTTCGCACTTGGACGTCGATTGGAGGCGATGCTGGAGTAGGCTTGCCAGCCAGCTGGCAGCCATCTACTCCTGCCCTATTTGATCAGGGTTTGCCGCCATGGTTCAAGAATCCAAATTTCGTGACTGGATTAGATGGAGCGGCTGCTGCACCTGGAGCTACTGCACCTGCACCTGAAGCTGGAACTGGATTTCTTCCAGCAGCCGGAGAGCTACCCAGTTTAGTGCCAACGAGTACAGTTAAGCCCGTGCCGCTGCCCACGCCGTTTCCCTTCCCGACCCGACAACCGCAAAGCAGCGATTACCCACCCCTGCCCACAGCTCCGCCCAAGCCGTTCGACGAGCCTCTCAAGCCGGTGACCAACATCAATCTGGACGAGCTGCCCGCTACAAAGATTAGCTATCGCAGCAACTTCAACTCGGTTGAGCCACCAAAGACCGCCGAACTGGAGCCACATGTGAGGGAGATGCTGAATCGTGGCGGCATCACCGACGACGACATTCAACGCGCCAAGGACCTAGGCAACGACGTGGTGCGCACGCGTGTCCTGCCCGATGGCAGGATAATCAAGACAACGGTGCGCGTTAACAACTTGACAGGGAGTGCACCACCAGCAGCATTTGCACCACCTGCACCACTTGCACCACCCCCGCCACGGGATAGCGCAATCGAAAACTTTCTGTCTCAGGTGCATCTGACGCCAACGGACATTCGCAATCAAAACGGGGAACTGGTCAAAACGATTGTCGACCAAAATGGACGCGTCTTGAGTGTCAGATTTGTACTGAGCGATGTGAAGGGTGACGAAGGCCAAAGAGCAGCTCAAGAGCAGCCAACCAAGTGAAAAAGTAGAGTGAAAATACTGAAGTGAAGTGTGTGACAATTAAAATACTAAACATGTAAATGAATATATATAATATAAATATATATGTACAAAGTTGTAAACAAATTAAATGCCTATGTGAGCTTGTATCAATAAATGCTTATCAGCGCGGGTTTGGCCCAGAGCAAGTCTAAAACTGTTTGATTACATTCAGAAAAACTATGAATGTATTAAAGATTGCCAGACTAGGAATTGTCTTATAAACAGAACATAGAAATACACATAAATCTAAAAATATATATATCAGCACAGAGAATATAGTAAATGTTAAAGTATATTTTAGTAAATATATTTCAATCATTTATTAATCATCATCAATATAATCCCAACTCAGTAAATATATATAAGAATATATATTTTTACTATATTTATATCAGGCTGATATATTTTTATACCCTGAACTAGGGTATAATGGTTTTTTATATAAATATATTTACTATATATTTATATATATATTTTACAGATTTATATATTTGCATTCTTTGTTCTTGTTTAAAGCTAAAAACTTGATAAATGTGTGTAATAATATACTTTAAAAAATTTCAAAAAATATTATTTGAGACAATTTTACATTGTAAAATGGATGGACTTGACCTTGACTCGAATGTCTAAAGACAAATCAAAGCAATAAAAACATATATACAAAATCATAGAGATAAGGTGAGGGAAGCTGTTGATTCTCTTTAATCTAATATATGAATTGTTGGTTTCAGTAAAGAGATAGACAGAAACAAAATCTGGTAAATATATTGTTCAAGCTGGTAAAGTTTTCCCCATATATCGAGCTATTTAATACATAAATAATTTTATATACCAATCAGAAATATTTCAGACTTTGTCAAATTTCTCTGACACAAAATAACATATCATTGAATAATTTAAGCTTATGAACAATAAAATTATACATATTTTCTCTTAATAAATTGATTGTGATTACAATAAATTCTTCGAGAAATTTCATATAATGGGATCAGAGTTTAAACATCAAAATTTTAGTACGTATAATTGAAAACAAAAAAATGATTATGAGTTCCATATATATTATTTTATATTTAGCATATATAAATTAAATAATTAATCCATATAATTACTTACCGCACCTGTTGGGAAAAAGGTAACACCTGTACTATCAAATACTATGCAACTACAAAAAGCAGTCTAAAATAAACTAAGCGCATGGAATTTTCAATTTAAATAAGCATTCTAATTTATTACATATTTCTTCTTTCATTTTCAGTTTTTGCTAAATGTAAAGAGCAGAAATATTCGTTTAACACACAAAATAAAATAAGCATTAAAATTTGTGTTTTTGTCTAATTTATTACATTTTTTTTTTTCTTTGCTGGACTTGCGCTAATAACTGAGCTGGAAAATGAAAAAAAAAAAAGAGAAAAGAAGGAAAACAAAATAAAATAATATAAAATGCAATACAATGAAAAAACAATTAAATACTAAATAAAAAATAAGCAAAATACAACAAAAGCATTCGCATTAGGCGTGTTACAGCGTTATTAAAGCATAAAAATAGATTGCATCAAAAATAATAAAAAAATAGATAAATATAAAAAATAAATTAAACAGGAATTCAATTTAAATTCCAAAAAAAAAAAAAAAACAAACAAATTCAAATAAATAATATAAAAAACTATTGCGTAATTTTGCATTTGTTGTGGCCGAAAATTGTTGCTGTTGTAGTTGTTGGAGATTTTGGTTTTTGTTTGTTTTATGTAGCATGGTTTTGTCTCGCTCTCTCATTAGCTCATTTACATTGCGATAGATGCGTTAGATTTATAAGCCAAGCATGTCATAGAAAAAAGAAACTAAATTAGTAAAAAATTTGTTGTCGATCATTTGTAAAGTACAAAAATTTCTTAGATAATAGAATTTGTAAAAATTAAAACTAGGTTTTGAAACATAAGTCTATAAAAAATAATCTTCGAGGTGTCCGAAGTTTTAATACCTTTGCAGAATACACAAGAAGAGTCTATAATTTTGTTAACTGTAAAAATTATTTTCAGATTTTGCATCAATCACTCACTTTTCATAGTTTTTATTTCCCATCCTATTCGTTGGATTATGTGGATTTTGTGAATTTTATTCGTCATTTTTTTTGCAGCTCACTCACTCACACTCACATATTGACTACACTATTTATTTTGGAGTATAAACAGATAAAATATAATCGAAAACAGCTGCGTTAATATTATTATTCTCAATTGAGCACATTTTGTCAGCGCAGTCCCTAAATAATCAACTCTCCCACTCATACCGCTTAAGCGACTGACGCGTTGTTAAAAGGAGCTCAACTTCCTCACACGAGCGCAGTTTATCGTCTTCCATTATCCATTTGAAGTACACTCATTTAAAGCGAGATCAAAAATAAGAGCGCAAAAGACAACTGATGCTAAATCTCTCACTCACACAGTACCAAGGGCCCGTTTGTCACTCGCACACGTATACAATCCACACGTTTTGCTCAAGTGTGTAAATATGCAGAACGAGATCAAAACACACAAAGAACGTGAGTGTGTGAGTGCGCTGTCTTGACGCTCTCAATGGCTACTCAACGCAACAAATTCCTACCTAACAGCTCACCCGCTCGCACTCATATATCGAGCCACTATGAATTCTGCAAATGAAATGCTCCTTCTCTCTTACTCTCAACAGAAATTCGGATTCTGTGTATAAATACGTGCAGCTAGATGCTGAGACGCTGAGATGCCATATTAATACATACACAAATATATATTGACTGTTACGGATAAACTGAAGAGCAGTAATTCGCTTTGCCATTAAACAAACAAACACAAATTTAATATTGTGCACTCTGCAAGGGTATACACAGATTATAAAAAAAAATGTTACGCTCAGCTAAAGGCGTTTAACTAATTAAAAAGCTTTGCCTACGAATACTTAAAAAAAACGGTAAGCAGAAAAAATATTATTATTAATCTATTACAAAGGACATAAATATTTGAAAAATTTGCTTGCATATTTGATTTTGCTTAATTCTGCGCATTTCATTATTGAAATGAATATGTATATAAATATAATGTATATAAGTATATAAGCGATTTTTTTCTATTTAATAAATATTAATATGCGCCAAAGGCATTTAAATTGAATAAAAATTTAATATAAAATGGAAAAAATTGTAAATTGAGTTTTGTATAGAATAAATAGTGATTTGTAATTCGTTGTTTGTGGCAATAATATTAAAATTTAGATAAATGTATAAAAAGTGGGTAATTGTGAAATTCAATAAATAATTATGAAAACAACCATTAAGAATCAATTGTCATGGTAATGATAGTATAAACATTATATAAATAATATTTTAAGAACTTGATTGCAAATGTGTAAAAATACTTATATGATAAAAACATAATAGAATATTTGCAAATTTAATAAAAAAAATGTATGTGTATATGTATAACTGTGACGTCATGTTGCACGTATAGATATGCACATTATTATAAATGTAAAGCATGTGGAAATTGTATAAGAAAGGGAAAATGAACACAATATAAGAGATCATATTTGGGACGATTTAAATTACATAAACTCTTCTAGCTGCTGTAAAGCTCTCTTATAAAGCAGCTCTTATAATTTTCTATGATCTGTTATCGTACTCTATCCTCATACATGTAGAGTGTATGAAAAAGGTTGACTTCTAGCTCTTATAAAATAGTGCCTATGCCTGCCTCCTGCCCTCTCTTTTAGTTTCTATAGCGTATATTTGAAATCTTTACTCACCAGATTATCGAAGCGCAGAGCATCCTCGTCGCTCAGGCCCATGCTGCGAGTTAACTGTAAATATGTGGACGTTATTGGCTTGAGTCGCTCCAGATCGAGTGGCGGCAACGGCTGCTGCGTCGAAGTGCTGCCGGCACCGACGCCGCCGCCGCAGCCGCTTCCGCCTCCGCCGCCACGCAGCAACACCTGCGGTATACGCAGATCAGCTGACAGGGGCAGAGGCAGCGGCAGTGGCAGCGTCTTTGGCGGACTGGGCAGCTCCAGCTTGAGCGGTGCAGCAGAAAGAGGCGTGGATGTGGTCGGGGGCTGGCCGTTGCTGGAGCTGGAAAATGAAGATTTCGTTAGATTGATGGGTGTATGAGGAGCTGTTGCCGCGGCTGCAGCTGAGGCGGTGGGCGTGACCGTGGGTGAGCGTGCACCAGACGAAGTCGCCTGGGGAGGGGAGGAGCTACCGCCAGCCGGCGTCGCCTTGCTGGCTGTAGTGGTGCTAGTGGTGGTAGTGGTAGTGGTGCTGCTGCTGCTGCTGCTACTGGTGGTGGCTGGTGCTGTTGGATAACTGAGACTCTGCAGCAGGCTGCTGCCGTAGAGGGGCGGCGCTAAGACCGGTTGAGGCAGCAGCGAGCCGCCAGCATAGAAGCGTCTCATAAAATCGTAATAGCGGACAAGATTATCTTGGGACTTGAGCAGCTGCAAGTCGAGGCCGGGCAGCTGTGGGCCGGCCGGTGGTGGAGCCTGTGGCTCCAAGGGCGGACTTAACGGACGCTGCAACTGGGGCTTGACTCGTATCTTGGGCACGCCCACCTCAACGGATGCCGCGGCAGCCGCCTCAGCGAGCGGCGCAGCGATGGGACTTGTTGGGGGCGGTGGTGCAATGGCATCCAAGTGGCTGGCACTGACGCTGCTCGCCGCCGCACCACCGGCGGTGGCAGCCGCCAGCGCTGCATGCGCCTTGAGCTCGGCGCTCGAGTGACGCCGACGCTTGGCCGTGGGCCCCGCCTCCAGGGAGCTCTCCGTGTGCGAGGAGTAGTTCAGATAGGCTTCCACTTCCGAGGAGCTCTCGTTGCCGGCCAGATCGTCCTTGGAGGCGGCCGAGGGCGAGGAGGGGCGCAGATTCTTCTTGCACTCGGGGCAGATGGTCAGGAACCGAGTGACTGCCTCGCGGGGCAGAAATGCATATGTTTCGGTTATCTGAAGATGAGGGTAATGGAGAAAATATAAGTCGTACTTGTAATGTAATGATTATTGCGATGATAATGGTGTTGCTAATGCTAATACTACTTCTAAAGCTATTGCTATTGCTAATGCTAATGCTAATGCTAGTAATAATGCTAATGCTAATGCTAATGATAATGATAATGCTAATGCTAATTTTAATGATAATGCTAATGATAATACTAATACTAATGCTAATGGTGATGATAATACTAATGCTTATTCAAATGCAAATGCAAATGCAAAATGGTAATGCTAATGCTAATGATATTGCTAATGCAAATGCTAATGTTAATACAAATGCTAATTCAAATGTTAATGCAAATGGTATTACTAATAATAATGCTAATGCTATTACTAATGCTATTGCTTAAGCTATTACTGATGCCCAATGCTAATGCTATTACTAATGCCCATATAAAAACTAATCCTATTGCCAATGCTAATGCTAAAACTAAATATTATGATTCTGGCTCATACGCTACACTCACAATGCGATAGGTGCGCTTCTGTCCCGCGTGCATGCCACTGCGTCCGCCCAGCTCCATGTGCACATTGTAAATGATGTCGAAGAACTCCTCAACGCAGGCCACCTTCCGGTAGATGCGACGGCCAAAGTCCTTGCTCTTGGAGGCAGCGAACAGATCCACAGCGCCGGGATTGTCAGAGAGCACAGCCGTGCTGGACAAGGGCTCGCAACGACGTCGACTGCCAGGCGCTTCCTCAAAGCCCTCTGGACGTTTGGTCGTAAAGCCTGCGGGAGAGTAAGCGAAAGATGCAGCTATGAATAAGTATTGGGAGAGTCTCCTTCAGTCCGTTGACTCACCCTTTGTCTTCACCCAGAAGCGAAACTTGGAGCTGTCTGGTCGGCTGTGCTCTTTGCCCTCGAGCGCCTTCAGGATGCGCACCTTCTTGCGCAGCGTTATCGTCTTGGTCTTTGCCTGATCCCCGTAGGTCTTGAGCGCCCACGGCTGGAACAGCTCGTAGATCACCTCTCGCTCGCTGGCCAATTTGCTCAGCGACAGCGGCTGGTGCTCCGGCGGCTGCTCACCCACCTCATCCACATCCGCATCGTAGGCCGTCTCCGTCTCCACGTCAGGCTCCGTCTGTTCAGATTGCTCCTCATGCTCCTCTATTGCATAGAGTTTGCGCTTCTGGCCACAGCTCGAGGACTCTGCGGACGAAGCCTGATCGAGACTGGGCTTACGATGCTTGCCATTGGACTGATCCATGGGAGCTACAAGACTCAGAGGACGTTCTACTCAAATAAAAAAAACTCTTTTGATCAGGGCAAAGTCCAAGCGATAGAGCAGCACATTGAGTGAACAGGGAATATTTGAATAGATTTCGGGATGGGATTTCTAGAATATTGGGCTAAGCGGAAAATTAGATATATTTCTTCATGGAGCTGTAAAGAGGCGGAAATATATGGATTAGGCAAATCTTTAGGGAACTCAAAGTGCATATTGTATAAAACATAAAATATTTTAAAATATAAAAATAAAAATATCAAACAAAAAAAGCATTTCATTAGGGCAAGAAATTGAATCGATATAATAAGACTAGATATATTTTTAACCATGATTTTATATGAACTTTAAGCACTGCTAATGCGTTTTGTGATCTTTTTGAATATATTTTAAAATAGTTTTCAATTAAAAATAAAGTTTTTATAATTGATTTATGATTTGAAACCATTTGATTTAAGCACTGAAACGAAAGCCAAATGAAATGTAACGAGTTTTTCGTTCAGTTTGAGTCTATCATGTAGGGGATAGATTTCAAACATTTTTTTGTAATATTCATTTCAATATGATATGAGTCGTTGCTCTTTTATAAAGCAATATGAATTCTGAAAGTTTTTTAGACTTAGGCTAAATCATTTCAATATTTTGAGGTAAAAGTCACAGAATTGGTTTTAGTTATCCTTAAATGGAACATTCTATAGCATAGAAGCTTTTAAATTGTATTTAAGCACATATTCAAAGAATTGTTTTGAAAATTTTGCTAAGTCGAGCAACAAATTCATAAATATTCTAAAACTATTTAAGATACTAGTAATTCGCTTGACTTTTCACTGCACTGAATCACGTTTTAACATTTTTTATATGAAATATATTTTATATTTAGTTAGTTTTAATTATTGTTAATTTTATACAATTCTCGAATTTCCTTAAGAAAATCAGGAAAGCTTCTCAAACTCTTTGTCTTTAGTTGATCTTCACAATCACTATTTTTCACTTACTTTAACGAAAAATTCCAAGAAAACAATTTTTTTTAAACAATTCATGCAAAATTAACAGAAAATTTAAATTTAAACGAAATTGATATAGAAAAACAAAACAAAACGCGACGAATTTCTCGTCCTCTAACAGCAAAACCAACAACAACAATAAAAAAGTGCGCGACGCGACCGAAATGAAGTTTCAAACACAACTGATCTGATGGGCTGATGGGCCATAGGAGAGAGTCCAGTCCAGTTGCTCAAGGATGCTGAGTGGATCACCAGACAGCAGTCGAAGACAGGCTGCCAACCGGTTCACCCGTTGACCGCTCATCTTTGAACTGCCCAAGTCAAGTTAATGAAGGCAGAAAAAAAAAAAAAAAGAATACACAAGTAAAAGGGGGTAGCTCAGCAAGTAATCATGTCTATACATTACAGGGTATGCGCCTAACCCTTAAGCCTACCTCAACAGTTGCGCAATTGCTAAGGCTAAGGCTAAGGCTGAGGCTGAGGCTGGGCATGGGCCAACCCAGTGAGAGCGCTCACTGCGAAACGTCTTTTGCGCTTTTTAAGAAGTGCTCACTCTTGCTCTCTCACTCTCACCTCACTGCTCACTCCCTCTCTGTCTCTCTGAAACCCACCCTCGTGTTAGCTAAGCATATTTTGCATTTTTTCATTGCATACTTTTCGCTGCGAGTGTCTCATATTTCTTTGCATTCAAATATTTGACGCTCTCTCTCTTTTTTTATGCTTTTGAGACGCCCGCACATGTTATTTCCATTCACCGCCCTGCCACACCCCCACGATGTGACGCCTGTTGCGCCTTTTCGTTAGCCTTGAAGCTGGCATTGTCCTTGCTTAGCTTTCTTCCTGTTTTGTTTACTTTGAAAGTCACGAGGATGTTGGGGTATTATTGGTGGTGTGCGTTGAAATTAATTGGTTGATTCAAAGGAAAAGTATGAGTTCTTAACTAGTTTTTATAATTTAAAATTACATTTAAATTTACTGATAATTTTTAAAAATGTGTGTTTTTTAAATATTTGTTTTATACATTTAAACAAATCTAAATAAAATAAGAGTTGCACAAGCAAAAATCCTTCGGCAAATTTGCAATGCTCCCTGGTATATGCGTACCAGGGACATTGAAAAAGATCTCAGGGTCCGCAAAGTTGGAGACGTTATGCAAAAGGTAGCTGCTAGCTACCTTACAAGACTCGAAGGCCACCCAAACCCTTTGGCGAGAAGACTTAAGAAAGCAGCCAGAAAAAGAAGACTGAAGAAGTGCCATCCACAGGACCTCCCTGCGAGGTTCCTATAAAAATGTATCAAGTCAAATTGCATGTGATTTACGTAAAAATTGTTATGGTTTGTTGATGTTTTTGTTAATTGTTATATTGTTATTGTTATGAAATTTCTGTAGTGTGTACTGTAAATAATTGTGTCTTTATGTTCAACTTGTTAAGCTGCCAATTAGGTAGTAAAAAGCCTGTTTAAATAATTAAAAAAAAAAAAAAAGTTTTATACATTTCTGCTTTATTTTATTTTGGAAATGCTTTCAATTTATTTTTTATAAAATTAAAATTTTTTTTATTAAATATTTATTATTATTATTTTTATTGTTTTATCTTATTATTATTTATTTATTCGGTGTAGATTGGTAATTGATATTAAGTACATGCCTTACTTTTAATTTAATTTAATTCGTTTACAATACTTTTTAAAACAAAGTAATTTACATCACTTATTTTTCTACTTTATAAAATGACTTTATTATTCACGTTCACTTTTTGTCAGACTCATTTCATGCTTTCATATGGTCAATTTAATTTGGTTTACAGTCAATTTATATCTGTCACATTTATGGTTTACAATTTTTTATTTATTTCTGTGTTAACAAAATCAACTTTTGGTTTTCCTTATTTATTTTTATACCCTGAACCCATTGAAAATGGTATGCAAAGGGCAGAAGGAGGCATGGCATAAAGTATATATATTCTTGATCAGCACGACGAGCTGAGTCGATATAGCCCTGTCCGTCTGTCCGTCCGTCCGTATGAGCGCGTCGATCTCAGGAGTTATAAGAGCTAGAGAACTGAAATTGGACATGCATACTCGTGTGTACCAGACGCAGTACAAGTTATAACTTTTTTATCGAGAATAATCGAAAAATGAATTTGGTTTTTTCAGCCTAAATTGAAACTTTTAGACCTAGAGACTTCAGATTTACTGTGTATATACAGTTGATCGATACGAAGATTTCAAGTACTAGAGACTTGTGCTTTGGTATGTACACACGTTTTCACCATATGATTACGCTTCATTAAGATTGTATGTCTACAAAAGAAATTATTCAAAAAGTAAGTTCTCATAACATTGCCCACACTGCAGCGCAGCCCATATTACATTCAATATTCTTATCATCCTATTGATTCCTTCCCTTATTGCCATTAAATAGTAAATTCTAATATTAATATTGTATTAATTTACTCAGTTTGAAAACAGTTTATATTTAAGTCCCGCTGAACTCCAGCTGAACTTTTTTTAAAAATATTTTTTCCCCGCGCTCAAAAGAATGCTGCATTATTTTTCATATATATGCGCTCATCTTTTGCTGGGACGCAAGTCTTTTTCTTGCTATTCGCATTTCTTGTTGGGGTGAGTTGCCTTTCTGCGAGTATCTCTTTAAGGGTTAGGCCATTTGATTTCATTATGCTCTCTGTGTGCGTGTGTGTGTGTGTTGCATTGAATTCTTGACTGCTGATTGGTTGTCACTGTCCCAGTCCAGGCAAAGCCAAACTACCCAGCCGCAGCCCCTGCCCGTCCTGTTCTTGTCTTGTTTATGTGACTTCTGTCTGCAGCTCAGCATCGGGCCAAGCCGAAGTTCAACTTAATTGCTGGACCCGTTTAAAGGAAGCAACCAAAACTGGATGTTTTTGCATAAAATCGAGTTGTTTTCTGCCGCCAAAATATGTCAGCATCAATTGCATCAGTTTTTCAGCTTCAACCGGTTTTTGTAACGTTCGTTTTGGATTTTATCTTTCTTTTTTATTTGTCTAAAAACATCTAAGAAAAATCTTTGTAACGTTCATTTAAGTTGGTCGTAAATAAGCCACAGCGGTCAATTTTTCCTTTTTGTATTTTTGATGGGATTAGCCAGAGGAAGCATGGGTCAGATATGGGCATGGGTCAGATATCTTTCATTTTGAGCTGACAAGTCAGAAAAGTATTGAATCGCTATATGGTTTGTCTATGAGTAAAATTAATAATGAATTTCATTTCGCTTAGGAATTGGTGCATATTTAAGCTAAGTTTAGTTTTAAATTAAATATGAAATGAATATGAAAATAAGAGTTGATACAAATTCCATTCTATTAGGGTGTCTAAAGTCAAGACTCCAGGCATAATATGTTGATAGTAATATTTTGATTTAATGCACATATTTTACTTGAATTATAAATTATAAAATATTCTTAGTGAAATATTAGAAAGATATTATATTTTTGCCTCTATTCGCAATTGCTCAACTAAATTATTCATTTAGAAATTAAAATGATGGTAAAAACAATTATTATTTTTTTTTTTTTTTACAAATTTTATGCAAATATTATTGTGATTATTGATTTAATTTTTTAAGAAACCATATAAGGAATAAAATCTTTATATATAATTAGAACAATTTGCCAACATTTTTTTTTTTTTTTTTTTTTTTTAATACAAAGTCAGAAATAAATTCGTTAGTATAGTATACTCTACAAACTTCCTTTCCTTTCTTCCACTCAAATATCATCAAATGATATGATAGCAGTTACCATATGATCTATATATTATAGACAGAGTTGTCAAGAGTAAAACATATCTATAACTGTTGCTACCAAGCTATTATACTTCCAATGAGCTTAGCCATATTCTGTCCATAAAACAAATACAATCAGCTTAGTTCATAAGACATAGAAAGTATATGTGATGGCATAGGAGTATGTCACTATGTATGTAAGTAAAGATGACATAGGAGTAACATTAACTAACCTTTTGATGACAACTCCCACACACACACACATGTACACACACATGGACACATACACAAATATAAACTTTGACCGCAGAAATGTTGCAACTGGCGGGTAGCTAAACATGAGCTGATGCTTCAGCTCATTAAGGACTGCAGCTAATCGTTTATGCATTGA